GATGTTATAAATATGCAAAATCACAGAAAGAAATATGTTCTAAAATGTTTAATATATATCATCTGAGTAGAGAGAAGGAGAGATAAGGACATAGTCTGGCTCTCAGGTACTCCCATAACTTCCCTCTTGGAATTCTTCCCATTAGTGTTGGAGAAGAAGGAAAGCAAAAAGACAAGTGTCCCCTTTGTTGGTCAGGTGACACTGTGCTCCCTTCTCTGTGAATGGTTACCATTTCTCTGATTAACAAAGACTGGCATGGTGGCCTCTCTGAGGCAGGTGTCCAGATACTGACTCTTCTGGAGCACACATGTGGTTCATTGGAGATCACATATTTTTCTGATTTTTACCATGCCCCTTAAAATCCCGACCAGAAGTTTATTCCTAGGAATCCCCAATGACATTTCATGTACATTCTCCATGAGCTCCCTAGAAGCTCTTGCCTTTGTTTTCTTTGTTCTACTCCTTGTAGTACTTCTACTATCCTACTGACTTTGTCACCAGGTTTTCACTACACTGGAGCCATGATGTTTTCCTCCAAATGTAAAGACAATACCCCATCCCCCACCCCCAGCACACAGACACGGAACCACAGAGATTCAAGAGAAGTAGGGTGGTGCAGCTCGTGTGAGGGGATTCTACAATGGACTTCTGTAAGGTGATTTGGTTGCTGAAGAATGTAAAGGTTCTATCCTGGAAGTGGTCCTAGAACATGACTGTGGAAGAGCAATGGGGTTTACAATCCTCCATTCTACCTTCATTCCATTTTTCTTTCTTTTTCCACCTTTTCTACAATTTAATCCCTTCCTAAAAGTATAATCCAGTAGGGAGGTCCCCTGGGAGGTGGTTATAAATGAAGGATGTTAGGTCTTCATTTATAGAAGGATGTCTTCTGAATCAGAACCTGCACATTATTAAGATTCCGCATATAATTCCTATGCACATTATAGTTTGAGAAGTACTGATACATATGACAGAACTTTGAGATTCTCCCATCCTAGTTAATCTTATTCAAGCTCAGTTTCAGATACCACAGCTGCACCTATGCGCCCACATTCTTCATTGTCAGCAAGGACTCTTTGGCTGGTGGGCCCAGGGATTCCATTTGAACAGCTTCACATCTATTCATTTGGAAGGAATGTTGGCATCATATATGCCAGTAACTCCATGTGCCCTCTTTTTCAAATATGCTTTAAGATATTTCAGTGTATTGCAGAGGGGAAAATGATTATAATGTATCTACTTTGTAAACAAATCCATATATTCACTGTGCTTAGTAATAAAAGACACAGCTTACATTGAAATTGTGCATGCACATGGTCCTTGAAGATAATTCTTTCCTCATCTTGTAACTTGTATCAGAGATAAGTTTAAGGACGTTTAATACTCTCAGCAGAGAGGTGGAGAAGAGCTCTAGCTGGTGCCCACTTGCAACTCAAGGTTCAGAGTCTCTAGGTTTCTCTTGGAAGATCTTTGTCATGCTTCCTGGGATGTATAAGTCTCACAAAATAGAAAGAACAGCCTTTTAAGATTTTAGAATTCCTTGCATCTCTTATCCAGTTTTAAGAGGTCAAAGACCGGGGAAGGGAGAAGGGAGGGGGGAATGGGTGGAGGGAGGGGGTTTGGAGGGAT